AAATAACATATTAAACCTCAAAGGCATGATCCTCTCTCAATACATACGAACACATGCTACATAAAACAAGAAAATACATAAACATGGCTGTTTAAAAGCCAGTTAGAAAGCGTAATAACCCAAAATATACATCACACTATCTTAACAAAATAATGTTTAATGATGACAGTTTAAGTTTGCAATTACATGACATTCTTGAGCAAAATATTGCTTCTACTTATGGCAAAAGATTTAAAACTGCAAAAACAACTGAAGCATTTATTCATTTATATGCCATTTCAAGATGAAAAACCCTGCCAAGGGCAACACTGTAGTAGTGCAGCACATCTTTCTCTTTTCTTTTAAAGAGCAGTAAAGGTAAAAAGAAGTTAAAAAAAAAAAAAAAACACCAAGGCGATATCTAATGATCAATGAATCTGCTACTGCAATAAATTTGCTTAAAACAAAGCTCTTCCTTTAATGGTTTTTACACAGCAGGCTCCTGATATGAAGAGGGGATGACTGATGCTGGCTTACAATATGGCTCTATAGTAAACTATGCCAGTATTACTACCAAATCACCTCTTACAAAACTCCCTTTCTGCCCACCATACAATCAATTTAACAAAGATCTAAACAACTTACAGTTTAAACATTCAAATAAATCCCACTCTCCTCCTTCCCCTCTATGCTTATTAAAGGAATGGAAAGTCACAAGTCACTGGAACAGTCCCAGAAATTATTTTATCTGTTCACTTTTCTTGACAAGATTGCATATTGAATTCCAGTGAGTCAAGGAAAAGGAGCAATGGCTTCACACTTCCACAATACCTGAGAAATGAAGACGAGTACCAATTCCAAGGCAGAATACTAAGAGTTATACCTGACTGCAGAAGCTTGCTCATATTATGTCTAAAAGAGCAAAAATAATACATTATCCATATGAAATTTCGTATCCGTTTTCTCTCCATACATAGAATACCCAGTACATCACATTGCAGGGTTTTGCATAAAAGGAAACCAGTGGCAAGAAAAAGTCCATCATCCATCCAGATCAAACACTACTTTCAGCTTGATAATCTCCAAAACAAGTAGATTGACATAAATCTACATGGAAAGTAAAGAAAATACAGTAGGGAAAAGAAGGCAAATTACTGAGGAGCCCCCTTTCTCCGATCTGGCATCTCTCCTCTCCATCCTGCAGTAAAACCAGTTCAATCACGCATCAGAAAGGCGGCAATCGGAGAGACTGCTTATTTACACTAAAACAGAACATGAAACTTCTTCCCTTACAGCTGCTCCCCTGCTACAAGCAAGTTCAGCTTCCAGTCCATCAGGCACAGAACAGCCTGTAAACTCTTTGGGGCAAAGACCACCTTTTTGTTATGTGCTTGGAGAATGACCAGAATAATAACGTCCTGATCCACAGCTGGGGCTACCATGAACTACTTCAATATTATTAGAGTGATTTTTCTCTTGCTTCATGACCCAACCATGCTCTCCAGGAAAAACACTTGTAGTCTAAAGTTTTCTCATAATTCTGGCTAGCCAGCATGAGGCAAAAACATCTTCAAGGGCCAGCTTCTCTTCTTGAGGCCGACATCCTGCAACAATTGACTTTATACATTCTTCAAAGTTGTGACCACTCAACACTAGGACTTTGCACCAATGTTGAGTGCAAAAAGCAACAAAATCAATATGAAAAGACAAGCAAATGGTTAATACAGAAAACGTGGAGGAAATTCATTTGCAAGCTGCAAAGAAAGAGCAAAACTAAGGAAGCCAGACAGGACGGATATCTGATTGTATGACTGAGACTACCTCAGTTTTCCAATTGGCAGGTTATATAAACAGGATGTAGTGATATTTTTAAGAGTAGAAATAAGAAAGATACACCAACTGGTATAACAGGTATTATATGATTTTGTAGTTTATTTTTAAATTCTATTTAGAATATGTAAAGCCAATATTGAATCACAGCAACACAGAATCACATAGGTTCGAAGAGACCTTCAGAGAGAGGTCATGCAGTCAAACCTCCAGTTCAAAGCAAGTCTAGCACGAACAGGGTGTTTGGGGGCCTTGTCTAGTTGAATTTTGAGCATCTCCAAGGATGAAGATTCCAGTGTCTCCGGACCCCTCACAGCAAATTTTTTTTTTTTTTTTTTTTTTTTTAAACCAGGTTGCAACTTAACTTCCCTTGTCCCAGTCTGCCCCTACTGCCTCCTGTCCTTCCCTTGTGCACTTCTGAGATGCGATGGCTCTGTCCTCTCCCACATCCTCCCATCTGGTAGCTGTAAACAGCAGTAAGATCTCCCTTGGGCTTACTCTTCTTAAGGCTGCCCAATATATCAAATTCGGTGAACTCTGCCCTTAAAACCCCTAAAATGATAGGAATACATACTTCTATTTCTCTTGCTAAAATCTTAATCAAGTAAGCTCTAATTTTTAAATTATTTTCAAAAGATAATCAGTCTCATATAAGCAGAGACATATATGCTTAGATAAGCACAGTTTTTAAAATTTTTGTCTCAGCAGAATTTCATGTACGCTCCCACCTTTTTTGTTACCCTAGTATTAATTTTCATATTGTACACTGGTTACCGCTTAACGGTAACTCTACTGTACATCGTCAGCAGAGAAAGAACACTGTTGCTGAAGTGTCAAAAGTATAGACTTCAACTTCTTGTGTTATAAATTTGTTTTCTAGATTAGCAGTTCCCAAAGAATGGGAAAGAACACAGTGGTGAGGTTTTACAGGGGAACATTAGAGAGCAGGTGTTCACCTGATGACTCTTCTTGAGATAGGAGGGAGAACAGCCATGGAACCAATCTGGAGACGTGGAAAAGCAAAGCAGCAAGCCCCAAGGTGCGAAGGACTACTTATTATTTACATGAAATAGTCCCATCTACACACAAATACTCTAGGAAAAGCCTGTATAATTCAGAACTTGGGACCAGAGTTCAAAACTTAAGAGGCTGACCACTCCTCTACTGAAGAACAGGATAACCAACCAGCCATTCACAAACCATGAAAAATTTGAGGTGTGATTCTCACACTAAGGATTACCAACTGCACAGCTGTGTTGGTGAGGACCTAATGCATCATTTGAATTTGCAGATTCAGGCAAAAATGCCTACTGAGCTTGAGATGCCTGTATCACCTGTGGAGCCTGGATTTAGAGACTCCTTCAATGCACCCTCAAATCCTCAAAGAAGAAATTTGGCTACATCGAGGCTGATATCCTCTACTTGTGAATCTGTCCCTGCCTTTGTCTTCATCTCAGTTCTCTGAAGTCCATAATATACAGAAGGCTTTACTCTCATTTTGCCTTTATTCTCTTCTATGATACCCCTTCACTTCATTGCACAAACCTTCACTTTACTGGCTATGATAGCAAATGATGTAATTGGAACATGTATCAACAGATAAATCAGTATCTTGTTATTTCATAAGTCCTGTATAGTTGGTATGTTTTGTATATTTTTCAAACTAAAATACTCAATCCATTCAACTGACAGTATTTAAAATATGATGAGGTGTCCAAGGTCGCAAAAAAACATTTCAGTTTCACAAACTGTGATATGTAGACATTGGAGCAGCTGTGTTTCCTCTATCGCATAGACTGTATTACTAGGACTTTATCTGCTAAGACTTTACCAAGATGCTTATGAACAGTATTTTCAAGTCATAGAGAAATCAAGCATTTAATGCCAAAGTAAAAAGGGAGAAAATTAAATTTAAAGACACGACTGCAATCTTTAAAGTTGCAGTTACATATAATCCAAAAGATGGAAAGTGGTGACATTTACAAGAACATCATAGATACAATTAAGAATTCTATTTCATAAACCATCCAGCATTTTAATGAAAAAAGTTAATTCTCAATGGAATTTTAAAATGTAGATGAAGAAAAATTAACATGTAATTACACGGTGAAATTATCATAGCTTTATTTTAAAATCAAAGGAGGGGAGCCTCCTGTATCATTGCTACTTACAGCATCTTTTGTTAGTTTATTTTACACACTATTTTTATTTCAAGCTAAGATTTCTACATTGCACCAGCATTATCCCAAAATGTTAATCAACCATGCCTGACAGAATTCCCCAGTGATTTGCAGCAAGTGCTGATGCTTCCACTAATACCCAGTCTTGAGCAACTCACTTTTGTTAGATTTCCCAGGATGGCGAGTATGCTTTAGTTTTCATCCTTCCATTTCCAGATCACCTCTCTGTGATTAACAGAGCTGAGACTGCAGACAGAACTGAGCCTACACATACAGCTGCATCAGCTGTGGACATCCATTTTGTTCAGTCTCTAAAATCTGGGTGTTTCTCAGGCTCTGGGAAGTAGACCCATACGCTATCGCTTCTGATCTTAGTTAAAACCAGAATCACTTTAAATGGATTTTAATGGCTAACTTATAAAGCACGATTCAAGAACTGCAATGGATATTGAATTATGCGGTTTCACTAACTGGATGTGCAAACTGACAACATTCAAATTAATAGCTATAATACCAATTAAAAATATCTCCTAGGACACTCCCTTGACAAAGCAGCTCCAAAATGTCTTGAATTCGTCTATCCCCAAATGAAACAACACGAAAACCAAAATGGTAGCGACCATGTTAGATGCAGGAGCTCTAAACAACATTTCTCTTGTGAGGGGAAAAGAAACCAAAACAAATGCAAGGAAAACCTCCAGCCTCCACTGATATCTGATCAAGAAACTGTAACTTCTTTTTAAAAGCAGAATTAATAGTTGCTGGGGTGTATATACTGGCTGTACTCAAAAAAGCTGATATAAAATAAAGCCTGAAAGTGTGTGCAGATGTATTTGTGTGTATATCCCCAAAGACTTTTCAGAATTATGTTGCCTGATTCTGTGTTTATTTAATTTTGGTTTTAACACTCTTCTCTCAAAAAGGGGTCAGGTGGGTTTTGTTCATTTCACACAGATCATTTTTACAGTTCCAGCTCCAGGGTGACTGTCAGTAGTGGAGGACAGTGCTTACCTGCTGAGCCTGGTACCTCTGCTGGGCCTGTGACAGATATTGTGCCTGGGGTGGCAGATGTTGAGGCTGCGGCTGCTGGTTGTAGTATGGCTGCTGGCCCTGCTGGCAGTAGCCACTTACACCTTGCTGACCATACTGAGGCGGTATCTGTTGGAAGAGCCAAGCAAAGCAAACGCATGAGTTGAAGCAGGAGGACATAAAATCAAGCTATGTCACATCTGTATGGCAAACCTGACGAGAAGTGGTATCCTCAGCTATACACCTGACCCAACAGCCCTACTCAGCAGTTACTGCAAGCCCTTAGATCCTCTTGCCTGAGCAGGAGGAATAAGCCTGAGTGCTCTGTATAGTTACTCTCTTCAGGAAGAACTTCTAAGGAAAATGCTACGCTTCTGAACACCACAGTCCCATAATGCTCAGCCTTATAATACAGAAGCAGTTATTTTAAATGTTTGCTCTCCATAGGTGCACTACTGAGGCAGATCGACAGAAGAATCATTCTGATGCACTGACCCGAAAGTAGAATTGTGGGGGGAAAAAAGGCACAATTCAAAAAGAAATGCCTTTTTTTTTTTTTAAAAAAAAGCAATAAAGTACTGATTTCTGTGAAATGCTTTGCCCACAACCCTCAGGTTTTTAGCATTTGTGTGTTTTAAGCCTTACACAAAGAAACTTAGGGTTTGGCAGGTTTTTGGTTTTGTCAAGTTCAGTGTCTCTCAGCCTCCTCACCCCTACTAAGATAAACCTTTAAAAAAAAAAAAAAAACAACCACAACCCCTCCCCCACAAAACCAATGCAACACAAAATAACCTGTTAAAAGTCCTATTAACAGACAAATCAGCACGTGTCATGCACTGAGAACTCCCACAGACTGAGAATTTAAGTTATAACCAAAAGCAAGTCAATTATAACGTCAGAGGAATTTTCTGCATCAGTTTAGGCTGTAAGCCTTGTATCAACAGACACTGACATTTTCTTGAGATATTTGAAAGAGCACACTTTCAACAAGCTCCTGATATTGTGTCTATATTGTCCCTATTTTAGGTACCCATGCTTTTCCCCCAAACATGGGCATTTAGTACCATTTCAGATGAATGACAGATGCAACACAGGACTTCTCTCCTAGAATGGGCCTCCCATTGGCCCTGCACATCCCTGCCCTAAGCAAATGTCTCTGATACCCAAGCACATCAGAAACGCTTTGATCTCTGAATTGTTCCTACTGAATCTCTGATACACCGATAAATCTGTTTACTCAACATGTAAACACATAGCTGTTCTACCTAAAGTTAACTCACTACATTCATTCAACAATACAGTAATGTTTGCTAGGTGATAATAATAATAATATGAAGTCAAATTTAAACATGCACATAGCTTGTTTTTACTATCACAACTTGATCTGCTCCTATTGCTTCTGCCAGAAGCTGGTAGTCCTACTTCTTGCTAACGCCTGAGGTCAGTGCTGTAACCCCGCTTCTGCACTTGTTCTCTTTGCTTCCACTTCCATTTCCTTCGCCATCATTTCACAGGCAGTTAGATGTTTCTGTGACCAAAGTAACCCTTTTTGACAAATACCTTCTCCCTGCTGATGCATAAATGAGGCAGTTATAATGCAAACTAAAAAGGGTGTGTTGGAATATCATCAGGCAAACAGACAGCTGGAGTCTGGGATCTGACAGAAGACCACATGGTGATTTGCCCGTCAGCTGCAAAGGTCACAGAGCCTGGACTGGTTCCTAGGAAATGCTGAGGAGAAACCTACATTGTGATCCATCTGGGTCCCAGTAACACTGGGAAGAAAAGGAAAGATATCCTGACAGCAAAATATGGGCTTCTGGAAAAAAGAAGAGGAGAATCTGAATGCCTGGTTGACAGGATGGTGACAAAGCAAGAGATGAGATTCATCAGGAGTATTTCTGGAATAAAGATACTTGTACAGGAGGGCTGGAGCTCACCTGAACATAGGAGCCAGGTTGCTGGTACCTAAGGATCAAGAAAGTGAAATTTTAAACAGAAGGGAGGGGATTAGAAGAACACATAGTTCAAAAGCATGGCATTGCTACGACAAATGAAGACATGGAGATTCCGGGTCAAATGAAGGTGCCGAGAAGAATCAAAGAATGAAAACAGACACGCAGATGACCGCAGGGTAAATATGGTGGCAAGAAGAAAATCCAACAATGCATTGCCTTCTACACAAGCTGGGGCTTGGTCAGATCAGGAAGAGTGAGTGCTGGGACCACCAGGCATGGCTGGACTATGGCGACACTGGCAGCAGCACACCAAGCGAGATCAGCAAAGGCACAGCGCAAGATTGTATAGAGGGAGATTTCAACTCCTCCCATGTAGGCTGAGCAAGCGGACTACAAAGCAGAGACTGAAGTATCGGGTAACTGCCAAAGGTTGTTCCATGGAGCTGCTGGTTAGGGAGCCTGCACGAGAAGTCACTGCCTCTGGCTCCGTCCTGAGCGGCAGGAATCACCTACTTCTACATCCTACAGCTGCAGAACCACTACACATCAGTGACCATAACAGTTAAATTGAGTATTCCTACAGGAACAATGAAAACCAAGGAATCTACTACTGTTGTGCTTAACTTCAAAATGCATAGCTACATAAAAAGAAGAAAGCTTGTTAAAAGGAAGCTCTAACAGACAGCTACGAGAAATAAAATCTGACTGGCAGCATCAAAGCTGCTTAACAACAACCACATGGAAAGCACAGAACCAAGATTCACCACCTATTAAGAAAGACTTGAGAAGAGCAAAGGGACATCAGCATGGCTCATCGCAGGTTTCTAAAAGCAAAGAGGCATCCTTCAATAAGCCAACACCAAGTCCAAATGAGGAAAACAGAAAAGACTGTAAACTCTGGCACTTCAAATGTAATAAGGCAGGCCAGAAAGAACTGGAGGAACAGCTAGAAAAGGGAGTGAAATGAGTAATGAATCATTTCTTCAAACGGATCAGGAGCAGGAGGTCTGCCAGAAAGTCTGAAGTGCCAAGTGATGATCAAGGTACAAAAGGAGATTCAGAGAAAACAGGGCCATCACAGAGAAGCCTAACTAATTTTTTGCACTAGTGTGCACTGTGGAAAAATCTTGGGAGGTTCCCATGCTGGAGTCCTCCTTTGTGAGGGACTCAATGAATGTGTCCGAATCTGATGGGACTATTCATGGAACAAACTGACAAATGAACAGTAAGAAATGCTCAAGACCATACAGTATCACCCCAGAGGCCTAAACAAATTCAAGAAGAATATAGCTTAATTACTAATGATGGTACACAGCCTCTTAACTTGGAGTTGCCTTGGTAGGTGAGAATTGGAGTATGGCTTTAAAAAAAAAAAAAAAAAAAGCAGAGATTTAAGACTATAAAGGATTGATGACTGTTCTGGATAAATCAGGACAGACAAGAATGAAGATCAGAATTAGGAAGCAAACACAGCTTTTGCAAAGGAAAATCCCTCTCTACAGACTTCTTGGACTTACTAGGAAGGGTCAAGCACAAAGGTTCAGAGAAATGCAACAAGAATGATCAAAGGTATGGAACAGTTTCCATACAAATAAACTGAGCATGGAAAAGACACCAGGAAGCAGGAATATGATAGAAAGCTACAAAACCATCTTGTCCAACACAACAATTAGGAGGCATTAAATGGTAGAACCAAACTTGAAAACAAGAGAGAGACAGGTTCCCTAGTCACAGAGGTAGCAGATGTTTGAAACTCCTTGACAAATGATATTTTGAAAGTTGAAAGTTTACATGGGCTCAAGCAAGGACTGGACAAGTTCACAAAAGAAACATCCTCTGAGGGTTACCAAATATATAGAGCCACATCTGGCTCAGGAAGTCCCTGAACCGAAAATCGCTGGAGGCTTGGAGAGTACTGGGCAAGCAGCACATGCTTGCTTGGTTCTGACTCTTCCCTAAGCATCCAACTGAAGCCCCCACTGGAGGCAGGACACAGGGCTACACGAACCCTTGATCTCACCTGATATAGCCATGTCCGTGTTCTAACCACCTCTCTGCAACACATATTTGTGTCCTGTGAGAAAGCAATGAAAGTTTGGTGTGCGAGGTACTCAGTAACAAATGTAAGCAACCTGAAGAGGCAGTAACACCTTGATTACCAGAAGCTGGGAGACTGCTCCAATTTCTGAATTTTTTCCCTAGCAAGCTGCTTCCAGACACTGGTGTAAAAAATAGGGTACTGGGCTCTTCTTCTGACCTTATGTACCAGTTACGTATGTTGGAATTTTCCTCCATATTCTCCCAATCTGAACTTTTTTTTTTTTTTAAACTCCCAAAATGCAACAATACTCCTAATGCTACATGTACTTTTAGATGCTATAGTCTTCAGTACAGAGACCCATCACTGCTGCCTTAGCAGAACACTCAGTATAATTTCTCTGGCTATTTAAATAAATAACAAACAACAACATGCAAATTAATCCTCCTGCTTTACTGATGGGGATCACAAGATACCGCTTATGGACAAATGTTTATTAAGCAGCATATAAAAAAGCTTAATTAAAATCTCCCCAGAACAAAACAAATCTGAAGCCAATTACTTACAATGCTTGGAGTGAATGACCCAACCATCCTCTTTCTTCATAAGGTAAACCCTCCCTCCCTTTCTCCCTCATACCCACATTCTTTGTGGCCACACAATGCAAGAGATGAGAATTTGGGAAACTTCAGCATGCCTGTGGTAACGCACACATTCTTGGGACGGTTCAAGAGAGAACAGATCCAAGTTTGAATCTATTTCTAGGCAAGCACAGAAACTGTAATAATTACTTTGCCTCCTATCTGACTTGCACAGTACAAATAGCATTATTCTGGGAGACGTATGACTGACCATCAGTGATTAAACCACTCAACACGAACAAGGAAAGGATGGGAACAAAAGAGGAACAAAATTGGCAGACAGAATGAAGAGGTGGGAGAAATCCAATTAAACCTATAACTTAGCCCATTATCTTTAATTCTTGCTTGAACAAGGGATCTTGTGGCAGACATTCTTTGTCCAGGTAATACCTTGATAGTAATGGAAGTTTTAAGCAATTTTTGCATGCATAATCCATAACTGATGTCAAAGGAGAAGGATCATTAGACAGCATTACAGTCATTATAATAATT